CGAGAAAAACCATCTTCTGTCGCGGGTTCTAAGCAGCCAGCCCATCACCCCGGTAAAAGTATCCGTCCTTAATAGTCTTTTAACCTCTTATGACCCTGTTCTTAGACAATATTTGGTTGATGGTTTTTCTTTTGGATTTCGTGTTGGGTTTATCGGGGAGGGTAGTTTACGCTTATCACCTAATTTACGCAGTGCGAAGGAGCAACCCGAGGTTTTGTCTACTAAGCTTTTCAAGGAACTGGCTGCTGGTCGCATTGTGGGTCCCTTTCTCTCCCCACCATTTGATAATTTTGTTGCTTCGCCTTTGGGAGTCGTTCCAAAGAAAACCCCTGGCGAGTACCGAATCATACATCATCTGTCCTACCCTGAAGGTGCCTCGGTTAATGACTATATACCGCCCGAATTTTCGACCGTTCATTACGCTTCTATATGTGATGCGATCAAGATTATCAAATCTTTGGGTCAGGGGAGCTACTTAGCTAAAACCGACATTAAGTCTGCCTTTCGCATAATTCCAATTCACCCGGACGACTATCATCTTTTTGGTATGACTTGGAATAACTCCTATTATTTCGATCGCTGTTTGCCCATGGGCTGTTCATCCTCGTGCGCTATTTTTGAAACCTTTAGTACGGCTATCGAATGGATTGCGAAAACCCATCTAAATGCCTCCGGCGTTTTACATATTTTGGATGACTTCTTGTTTATTTCAAGTACCAAATCTGAAAGTATTTCTGTTCTAAATAACTTTTTGCGTCTCTGTGAGACACTAGGCGTCCCGATAGCTCAGGAGAAAACTGAAGGGCCTTCAACAACTCTTCAGTTTGCGGGCATTACCCTAGACACTGTTAGTATGGAGGCTCGTTTGCCACGGGACAAGCTTCAGAAATGCACTGATCTGTTACTCGAGATCCATAAACGTCGTAAGGTCACTCTCAGAGAACTACAGTCACTGATCGGTTTACTCAATTTTACTTGTTCTGTTGTTCTACCGGGTAGGGCTTTTCTCCGACGWCTTATTGACCGTACTAAARGCGTMCGTCGTCCTTATCATCGGATTCGCATCACTAAGGCCTGCCGCAGTGATTTAAGGGTTTGGCTTCGTTTTTTACACGACTATAATGGCAGAACWTTTTTTATAGAAGAACAATGGCTCTCACAAACGCCTCTTAAATTGTATACTGACGCCGCAGGCTCAAAAGGCTACGGTGCACTTYTTGGTCGCCATTGGTTTTACGGAGAGTGGCCTTCGCATTGGAACTCATTCAATATTGCCTTTCTGGAGCTTTTTCCGATTGCGGTCTCACTCCACGTGTGGGGTTGTCACATGCAAAATCAATGTGTTTTCTTTTTCACCGACAATGCGGCTTTAGTCCACATTATAAATAAGCAAACGTCAAAACATCCTTTAATCATGATTTTAGTGCGTGACCTCGTGTTAACCTCATTACGTTCCAACATATTATTTCGTGCAGTCCATGTGCCGGGTGTCGATAACACCCGAGCGGATTTAATTTCTCGTCTGCAGATCGTAGAATTCAGGAAAGCCTTCCCGGAGGCAGATCCAGAACCAACAATTGTTCCGGATACCCTTCTCCCGGAGAAGTGGTCGCTACGTTAAATGGACTCGTTCGTTCGTCATTGTCCGAACAATCTCGGAAAGCTTATTCGCGTGCTTGGGCTGTCTTT